AAGAGAATAAGGATAAAGGAAAAAGGGAAAACATTGTTGCAGTAAGAAAGAGAACAAGGATAAAGGAAAAAGGGAAAACATTGTTGCAGTAAGAAAGAGAACAAGGGATAAAGGAAAAAGGGAAAACATTAAGAAAGAGAACAAGGATAAAGGAAAAGGGGAAAACATTGTTGCAAAGAAAGAGAAAAAGGGATAAAAGGAAAAGGGGAAAACATTGTTGCAGTAAGAAAGAGAACAAGGGATAAAGGAAAAGGAAAAACATTGTTGCAGTAAGAAAGAGAACAAGGGATAAAGGAAAAAGGAAACATTGTTGCAGTAAGAAAGAGAACAAGGGATAAAGGAAAAGGGAAAACATTGTTGCAGTAAGAAAGAGAACAAGGATAAAGGAAAAAGGAAAACATTGTTGCAGTAAGAAAGAGAATAAGGGATAAAGGAAAAAGGGAAAACATTGTTGCAGTAAGAAAGAGAACAAGGGATAAAGGAAAAGGAAAACATTGTTGCAGTAAGAAAGAGAAATAAGGGATAAAGGAAAAAGAAAAATATTGTTGCAGTAAGAAAGAGAAATAGGGATAAAGGAAAAGAGAAAAACATTGTTGCAGTAAGAAAGAGAAATAAGGGATAAAGGAAAAAGGAAAAACATTGTGCAGTAAGAAAGAGAACAAGGATAAAGGAAAAGGGAAAAACATTGTTGCAGTAAGAAAGAGAACAAGGATAAAGGAAAAGGGAAAACATTGTTGCAGTAAGAAAGAGAAAAGGATAAAGGAAAAGGAAAAACATTGTTGCAGTAAGAAAGAGAACAGGGATAAAGGAAAAGGAAAAACATTGGATAAAGGAAAAGGAAAGATTGTAAGAAAGAGAACAAGGATAAAGGAAAAGGAAAAAACATTGTTGCAGTAAGAAAGAGAACAAGGATAAAGGAAAAGGATAAAGAAAACATTGTTGCAGTAAGAAAGAGAACAAGGGATAAAGGAAAAGGGAAAACATTGAATGTAAGAAAGAGAAATAAGGGATAAAGGAAAAAGGAAAAACATTGTTGCAAAGAAAGAGAACAAGGATAAAGGAAAAAGGGAAAACATTGTTGCAGTAAGAAAGAGAGAACAAGGGATAAAGGAAAAGGGGAAAACATTGTTGCAGTAAGAAAGAGAAATAAGGGATAAAGGAAAAAGGAAAAACATTGTTGCAGTAAGAAAGAGAAATAAGGGATAAAGGAAAAGGAAAACATTGTTGCAGAAGAAAGAGAAACAAGGATAAAGGAAAAGGGGAAAACATTGTTGCAGTAAGAAAGAGAAATAAGGATAAAGGAAAAGGGGAAAACATTGTTGCAGTAAGAAAGAGAACAAGGGATAAAGGAAAAAGGGAAAGAAAAGAGAACATTGTAAGAAAGAGAAATAAGGGATAAAGGAAAAGGAAAACATCAGAACAAGAAAGAGAAAAGGAAAAGGAAAAGGAAAACATTGTTGCAGTAAGAAAGAGAATAAGGGATAAAGGAAAAAGGAAAACATTGTTGCAGTAAGAAAGAGAAACAAGGATAAAGGAAAAGGGAAAACATTGCAGTAAGAAAGAGAACAAGGATAAAGGAAAAAGGGAAAACATTGTTGCAGTAAGAAAGAGAAATAAGGGATAAAGGAAAAGGAAAAACATTGTTGCAGTAAGAAAGAGAACAAGGGATAAAGGAAAAGGGAAAACATTGTTGCAGTAAGAAAGAGAACAAGGATAAAGAAAAGGAAAACATTGTTGCAGTAAGAAAGAGAACAAGGGAAAAAGGAAAAGGAAAACATTGTTGCAGTAAGAAAGAGAACAAGGATAAAGGAAAAGGGAAAACATTGCAGTAAGAAAGAGAACAAGGGATAAAGAAAAAGGGAAAAACATTGTTGCAGTAAGAAAGAGAATAAGGACAAAGGAAAAGGAAAACATTAGGCAGTAAGAAAGAGAAATAAGGGATAAAGGAAAAGGGAAAACATTGTAAGAAAGAGAACAAGGGACAAAGGAAAAAGGGAAAACATTAAGTAAGAAAGAGAAACAAGGGAAAGGAAAAAAGGAAAACAGGAAAACATTGGAAAGGGAAAAATGATTAAGGCAGTAAGAAAGAGAACAAGGGATAAAGAAAAAGGAAAACATTGTTGCAGTAAGAAAGAGAACATGGATAAAGGAAAAGGAAACATTTGTTGCAGTAAGAAAGAGAACAAGGGATAAAGGAAAAAGGGAAAAACATTGTTGCAGTAAGAAAGAACAAGGGGATAAAGGAAAAAGGGAAAACATTGTTGCAGTAAGAAAGAGAACAAGGGATAAAGGAAAAAAGGGAAAACATTGTTGCAGAAGAAAGAGAACAAGGGATAAAGGAAAAGGAAAACATTGTTGCAGTAAGAGAGAACAAGGGATAAAGGAAAAGGGAAATATTGGAAGAAAACAAGGGATAAAGGAAAAGGGAAAACATTGTTGCAGTAAGAAAGAGAACAAGGGATAAAGGAAAAACATTGTTGCAAAGAACAAGGATAAAGAAAAAGGGGAAACATTGTTGCAGTAAGAAAGAGAACAAGGATAAAGGAAAAGGGAAAAAACATTGTTGCAGTAAGAAAGAGAACAAGGATAAAGGAAAAGGGGAAAACATTGTTGCAGTAAGAAAGAGAAATAAGGATAAAGGAAAAAGGAAAACATTGTTGCAGTAAGAAAGAGAACAAGGGATAAAGGAAAAGGAAAACATTGTTGGAAACGTAAGAAAGAGAACAAGGATAAAGGAAAAGGAAAACATTGTTGCAGTAAGAAAGAGAACAAGGGATAAAGGAAAAAGGAAAACATTGTTGCAGTAAGAAAGAGAACAAGGGATAAAGGAAAAGGGAAAACATTGTTGCAGTAAGAAAGAGAACAAGGATAAAGGAAAAGGAAAACATTGTTGGACGTAAGAAAGAGAACAAGGAAAGAGAAAAACATTGTTGGGTTGTAAGAAAGAGAAAAAGGATAAAGGAAAAAGGAAAACATTGTTGCAGAAGAAAGAGAACAAGGATAAAGGAAAAAAGGAAAAACATTGTTGCAGTAAGAAAGAGAACAAGGGATAAAGGAAAAAGGAAAAACATTGTTGCAGTAAGAAAGAGAAATCAAGGATAAAGGAAAAGGGAAAACATTGCGTAAGAAAGAGAACAAGGGATAAAGGAAAAAGGAAAACATTGTTGCAGTAAGAAAGAGAACAAGGGATAAAAGAAAGAAAAAAAAGGGAAAAGGGAAACATTGTTGCAGTAAGAAAGAGAACAAAACAAGGATAAAGGAAAAGGGAAAACATTGTTGCAGAAAGAAAGAGAAAACAAGGGGAGAAAAGGAAAAGGGAAAAAAACATTGTTGCAGTAAGAAAGAGAAATAAGGATAAAGAAAAAGGGAAAACATTGTTGCAGAAGAAAGAGAACAATGGATAAAGGAAAAGGGAAAACATTGTTGCAAGAAAGAAAGAACAAGGACAAGAAAAGAGAAACATTGCTGCAGGGATAAAGGAAAAAGGAAAAACATTGTTGCAGTAAGAAAGAGAATAAGGGATAAAGGAAAAGGGAAAAACATTGTTGGTAAGAAAGAGAAATAAGGGATAAAGAAAAAGGAAAAACATTGTTGCAGTAAGAAAGAGAATAAGGGATAAAGGAAAAAGGGAAAACATTGTTGCAGTAAGAAATAGAACAAGGGATAAAGGAAAAAGGGAAACATTGTTGCACGTAAGAAAGAGAACAAGGGATAAAGGAAAAGGAAAACATTGTTGACGTAAGAAAGAGAACAAGGATAAAGGAAAAGGAAAACATTGTTGCAGTAAGAAAGAGAACAAGGATAAAGGAAAAGGAAACATTGTTGCAAAGAAAGAAAAAGATAAAGGAAAAGGAAAACATGTTGCAGTAAGAAAGAGAACAAGGATAAAGGAAAAGGGGAAACATTGTTGCAAGAAAGAGAAATAAAGGAAAGAAAACAAGGACAAAGGAAAAAGATAAAGGAAAAAAAACATTGTTGCAGTAAGAAAGAGAACAAGGATAAAGGAAAAGGGAAAACATTGTTGCAGTAAGAAAGAGAACAAGGGATAAAAGGAAAAGGAAAAATTGTTGCAGTAAGAAAGAGAAATAAGGATAAAGGAAAAAGGAAAATGTTGCAGTAAGAAAGAGAAAAGGGATAAAGGAAAAAGGAAAAGGAAAAAAGGAAAACATTGTTGCAGTAAGAGAGAAACAAGGGATAAAGAAAAGGAAAACATTGTTGCAGTAAGAAAGAGAACAAGGATAAAGGAAAAAGGAAAAACATTGTTGCAGTAAGAAAGAGAAATAAGGGATAAAGGAAAAGGGGAAAACATTGGTAAGAAAGAGAAATAAGGATAAAGGAAAAAGGAAAACATTGTTGCAGTAAGAAAGAGAACAAGGGATAAAGGAAAAGGAAAACATTGTTGGAGTAAGAAAGAGAACAAGGGATAAAGGAAAAGGAAAAAACATTGTTGCAGTAAGAAAGAGAACAAGGATAAAGGAAAAAGGGAAAACATTGTTGCAGTAAGAAAGAGAACAAGGATAAAGGAAAAAGGGGAAAACATTGTTGCAAAGAAAGAGAACAAGGATAAAGGAAAAGGAAAACATTGTTGCAGTAAGAAAGAGAACAAGGATAAAGGAAAAGGAAAACATTGGCAGTAAGAAAGAGAACAAGGGATAAAGGAAAAGGGAAAACATTGTTGCAGTAAGAAAGAGAGAAAAACAAGGATAAAGGAAAAGGAAAAACATTGTTGCAGTAAGAAAGAGAACAAGGATAAAGGAAAAGGGAAAACATTGTTGCAGTAAGAAAGAGAACAAGGGATAAAGAAAAAGGGAAAACATTGTTGCAGTAAGAAAGAGAACAAGGGATAAAGGAAAAAGGGAAACATTGTTGCAGTAAGAAAGAGAACAAGGGATAAAGAAAAAGGGAAAACATTGTTGCAGTAAGAAAGAGAACAAGGGATAAAGGAAAAGGAAAACATTGAGAGTAAGAAAGAGAACAAGGGATAAAGGAAAAGGAAAACATTAAGGAAGTAAGAAAGAGAACAAGGGGATAAAGGAAAAAGGGAAAACATTGTTGCAGTAAGAAAGAGAACAAGGATAAAGGAAAAGGGAAAACATTGTTGCAGTAAGAAAGAGAACAAGGATAAAGGAAAAGGGAAAACATTGTTGCAGTAAGAAAGAGAACAAGGGATAAAGGAAAAAAGGAAAACATTGTTGCAGTAAAAGAGAAAAGGATAAAGGAAAAAGGAAAACATTGTTGCAGGGATAAGAAAAGAAAAACAAGGGATAAAGGAAAAAAAAGGGAAAACATTGCTGCAGTAAGAAAGAGAACAAGGGATAAAGGAAAAAGGGAAAACATTGTTGCAGTAAGAAAGAGAACAAGGGATAAAGGAAAAGGAAAAACATTGTTGCAGTAAGAAAGAGAAAGGACAAAGGGAAAACATTAAGTAAGAAAGAGAAAAGGGGATAAAGGAAAAGGAAAAACATTGTTGCAGTAAGAAAGAGAACAAGGGATAAAGGAAAAAGGGAAAACATTGCAGTAAGAAAGAGAATAAGGGATAAAGGAAAAAGGAAAACATTGTTGGAAAAGGAAAATATTGTTGGACGTAAGAAAGAGAACAAGGATAAAGGAAAAAGGGAAAACATTGTTGCAGTAAGAAAGAGAAAAAGGAAAACAAGGGATAAAGGAAAAGGAAAAAGGAAAATTGTTGCAGTAAGAAAGAGAACAAGGGATAAAGGAAAAAGGAAAACATTGTTGCAGTAAGAAAGAGAAATGTGACAAAGGAAAAGGAAAACATTGCTGCAGTAAGAAAGAGAAACAAGGGATAAAGGAAATAAAGAAAAGGAAAACATATTGTTGCAGAAGAGAGAACAAGGGATAAAGGAAAAGGAAAACATTAAGTAAGAAAGAGAACAAGGATAAAGGAAAAGGAAACATTGTTGCAGTAAGAAAGAGAACAAGGGATAAAGGAAAAAGGGAAAACATTGTTGCAGACAAGAAAGAGAAATAAGGATAAAGGAAAAAGGAAAACATTGGTAGTAAGAAAGAGAAATAAGGATAAAGGAAAAGGAAAACATTGTTGCAGTAAGAAAGAGAACAAAGGATAAAGGAAAAAGGAAAAAGAATGTGGACGTAAGAAAGAGAAAATAAGGGATAAAGGAAAAAGGAAAACATTGTTGCAAAGAAAGAGAATAAGGGATAAAGGAAAAGGGAAAACATTGTTGCAGTAAGAAAGAAGAGAAAAAGGAAAACATTGTTGCAGTAAGAAAGAGAAAAGGGATAAAGGAAAAGGAAAACATTGTTGCAGTAAGAAAGAGGATAAAGGAAAAAGGAAAACATTGTTGGAAGAAAGAGAACAAGGATAAAGGAAAAGGAAAACATTGTTGCAGGGAAAGAGAACAAGGGGATAAAGGAAAAAGAAAAACATTGTTGCAGTAAGAAAGAGAACAAGGATAAAGGAAAAGGGAAAACATTGTTGCAGTAAGAAAGAGAACAAGGATAAAGGAAAAGGGAAAACATTGTTGCAGTAAGAAAGAGAAACAAGGGACGGAAAAAGGAAAAACATTGTTGCAGAAAAAGAGAACAAGGGATAAAGGAAAAAGGGAAAAACATTGGCAGTAAGAAAGAGAACAAGGATAAAGGAAAAGGGAAAACATTGGCAGTAAGAAAGAGAAAGGAAAAAGGGAAACATTGTTGCAGTAAGAAAGAGAACAAGGGATAAAGGAAAAGGAAAAACATTGGCAGTAAGAAAGAGAACAAGGATAAAGGAAAAAGGAAAAATTGTTGCAGTAAGAAAGAGAACAAAAAGGAAAAAGGAAAAGGAAAACATTAAGGGATAAAGGAAAAGAAAACATTGAGAAGAAAGAGAAATAAGGATAAAGGAAAAGGGAAACATTGTTGCAGTAAGAAAGAGAACATAAAGGATAAAGGAAAAGGGAAAAAGAAAGAGAAATGCAGTAAGAAAGAAACAAAAGTGGATAAAGAAAAGGAAAACATTGTTGCAGTAAGAAAGAAACAAGGATAAAGGAAAAGGAAAACATTGTTGCAGTAAGAAAGAACAAGGGATAAAGGAAAAGGAAAACATTGTTGCAGTAAGAAAGAGAACAAGGATAAAGGAAAAGGAAAACATTGTTGCAGTAAGAAAGAGAACAAGGATAAAGAAAAGGAAAACATTGTTGCAGTAAGAAAGAGAACAAGGATAAAGGAAAAAGGGAAAATTGTTGCAAGAAAGAGAAAAGGGATAAAGGAAAAGGGAAACATTGTTGCAGTAAGAAAGAGAACAAGGGATAAAGGAAAAGGGAAACATTGTTGCAGTAAGAAAGAGAAACAAGGATAAAGGAAAAGGGAAAAAAAAGGAAAACATTGAAAAAGGAAAACATGCAGTAAGAAAGAGAACAAGGGATAAAGGAAAAGGAAAACATTGTTGCAAAAAGAAAGAGAACAAGGATAAAGGAAAAGGGGAAACATTGTTGCAGCAAGAAAGAGAACAAGGGATAAAGGAAAAGGAAAAACATTGTTGCAGTAAGAAAGAGAAATAAGGATAAAGGAAAAGGGGAAACATTGTTGCAGTAAGAAAGAGAACAAGGGATAAAGGAAAAGGAAAAACATTGTTGCAGTAAGAAAGAGAACAAGGAAATAAAGGAAAAGGAAAACATTTGGTAAGAAAGAGAAATAAGGGATAAAGGAAAAGGGAAAAATTGTTGGTAAGAAAGAGAACAAGGGATAAAGGAAAAGGAAAACATTGTTGCAGTAAGAAAGAGAACAAGGATAAAGGAAAAAGGAAAACATTGTTGCAGTAAGAAAGAGAACAAGGGATAAAGGAAAAAGGGAAAAAATATTGTTGCAGTAAGAAAGAGAACAAGGGATAAAGGAAAAGGAAAAACATTGTTGCAGTAAGAAAGAGAACAAGGGATAAAGGAAAAGGGAAAACATTGTAGTAAGAAAAAGAAAAAGGATAAAGGAAAAAGGAAAACATTGTTGCAGTAAGAAAGAGAAAAGGAAAAAGGAAACAAGGGATAAAGGAAAAAGGGAAAAAGGAAAAAACATTGTTGCAGTAAGAAAGAGAATAAGGGATAAAGGAAAAGGAAAACATTGTTGCAGTAAGAAAGAGAACAAGGGATAAAGGAAAAAGGGAAAACATTGTTGCAGTAAGAAAGAGAACAAGGGATAAAGGAAAAGGGAAAAAAAAGGAAAAGGGAAAACATTGTTGCAGTAAGAAAGAGAACAAAGGATAAAAGGGAAAACAAAGGAAGAAAGAGAAACATGGGATAAAGAAAAATTGTTAGCTGCAAGAAAGAGAAACAAGGATAAAGGAAAAAGGAAAACATTGTTGTAAGAAAGAGAATAAGGGGATAAAGGAAAAGGGAAAAACAGGACGTAAGAAAGAGAAATAAGGGATAAAGGAAAAAAAAACATTGTTGCAGTAAGAAAGAGAATAAGGGACAAAGGAAAAGGGAAAAATTAAGGCAGTAAGAAAAGAATAAGGGATAAAGGAAAAGGGAAAACATTAAGGTAAGAAAGAGAAATAAGGGAAAAAGGAAAAAGGGAAAACATTGTTGCAGTAAGAAAGAGAAATAAGGGATAAAGAAAAGGAAAAATAAGGGAGAAAGAGAACAAGGGATAAAGGAAAAGGGAAAATATTGTAAGAAAAGAGAAATAAGGATAAAGGAAAAGGGAAAACATTGTTGCAGTAAGAAAGAGAACAAGGGATAAAGGAAAAGGGAAAACATTGTAATGTAAGAAAGAGAATAAGGATAAAGGAAAAGGGAAACATTGTTGCAGTAAGAAAGAGAAATGAAGGGATAAAGGAAAAAGGAAAAACATTGTTGCAGTAAGAAAGAGAAATAAGGGATAAAGGAAAAAAGGGAAAAACATTGTTGCAGTAAGAAAGAGAACAAGGATAAAGGAAAAGGGAAAAACATTGTTGCAGTAAGAAAGAGAACAAGGATAAAGGAAAAAGGAAAAACATTGTTGCAGTAAGAAAGAGAACAAGGGATAAAGGAAAAGGGAAAACATTGTTGCAAGAAGAAAGAGAAACAAGGATAAAGGAAAAGGGGAAACATTGTTGCAGTAAGAAAGAGAACAAGGATAAAGGAAAAGGGAAAACATTGTTGCAGTAAGAAAGAGAACAAGGGGATAAAGGAAAAAGGGGAAAACATTGTTGCAGTAAGAAAGAGAAAATAAGGGATAAAGGAAAAAGGGAAAACATTGTTGCAGTAAGAAAAGAGAACAAGGGATAAAGGAAAAGGGAAAAACATAAGAAAGAGAAAAAAGGGATAAAGGAAAAAGGGAAAAAAACATTGTTGCAGTAAGAAAGAGAACAAGGATAAAGGAAAAAGGGAAACATTGTTGCAGTAAGAAAGAGAACAAGGATAAAGGAAAAGGGAAAAACATTGTTGCAGTAAGAAAGAGAATAAGGGATAAAGGAAAAGGGGAAAACATTGGAAGTAAGAAAGAGAAAAGGAAGGGATAAAGGAAAAGGGGAAAAACATTGTTGCAGTAAGAAAGAGAATAAGGATAAAGGGAAAAGGGAAACATTGTGGAAAGAAAAAAGGATAAAGGAAAAAGGAAAAAACATTGTTGCAGTAAGAAAGAGAACAAGGATAAAGGAAAAGGGAAAAACATTGTTGCAGTAAGAAAGAGAACAAAGGATTGCAAAAAGGGAAAAACATTGTTGCAAGAAAAAGAGAACAAGGGATAAAGGAAAAGGGAAAACATTGTTGCAAAGAAAGAGAACAAGGATAAAGGAAAAAGGGAAAACATTGTGGACGTAAGAAAGAGAACAAGGGATAAAGGAAAAAGGGAAAACATTGTTGCAGTAAGAAAGAGAACAAGGATAAAGGAAAAGGAAAACATTGGCAGTAAAAAGAGAACAAGGAAAACAAAAAGGAAAAACATTGTTGGCAAAAGAAAGAGAACAAGGGATAAAGGAAAAGGAAACATTGTGGAAGAAAGAGAATAAGGATAAAGGAAAAAGGAAAAACATTGTTGCAGTAAGAAAGAGAAACAATGGATAAAGGAAAAGGGAAAACATTGTTGCAGTAAGAAAAAGAGAACAAGGGATAAAGGAAAAGGGGAAAAACATTGTTGCAGTAAGAAAAGAGAACAAGGGATAAAGGAAAAAGAAAAAAAAGTTGCAGCAAGAAAGAGAACAAGGATAAAGGAAAAGGAAACATTGGACGTAAGAAAGAGACAAGGGATAAAGGAAAAGGGAAAACATTGTTGCAGAAGAAAGAGAACAAGGATAAAGGAAAAGGAAAACATTGTTGCAGTAAGAAAGAGAACAAGGGATAAAGGAAAAAGGAAAACATTGCTGCAGTAAGAAAGAGAACAAGGGATAAAGGAAAAGGGAAAACATTGTTGCAGTAAGAAAGAGAACAAGGGATAAAGGAAAAAGGAAAACATTGACGCAGTAAGAAAGAGAAAAAGGGGATAAAGGAAAAAGGAAAACATTGTTGCAGTAAGAAAGAGAATAAGGGATAAAAGGAAAAAGGAAAACATTGTTGCAGTAAGAAAGAGAACAAGGATAAAGGAAAAGGGAAAACATTGTGACGTAAGAAAGAGAAGAGGATAAAGGAAAAGGAAAAATTGTTGCAGTAAAAAAGAAAAAAGGAAAAAGGGAAAACATTGCTGCAAGAAAGAGAACAAGGATAAAGGAAAAAGGAAAACATTGTTGCATTAAGAAAGAGAACAAGACAAAGGAAAAGGAAAATGGTAAGAAAGAGAAAAGGATAAGGAAAAGGAAAAGGGAAAACATTGTTGCAGTAAGAAAAGAGAACAAGGAAAAGGAAAAGGAAAACATTGTTGCAGTAAGAAATAGAACAAGGATAAAGGAAAAGGGAAAACATTGGACGTAAGAAAGAGAACAAGGGATAAAGGAAAAGGGGAAACATTGTGGCAGTAAGAAAGAGAAAAAAGGATAAAGGAAAAGGAAAACATTGTTGCAGTAAGAGAGAAATAAGGATAAAGGAAAAGGGAAAAGGAAAAGGAAAAAGGAAACATTGTTGCAGTAAGAAAGAGAACAAGGGATAAAGGAAAAAAGGAAACATTGTTGCAGTAAGAAAGAGAACAAGGGGATAAAGGAAAAAGGAAAACATTGGACGTAAGAAAGAGAACAAGGACAAAGGAAAAGGGAAAATTGTAATGTAAGAAAGAGAAAAGGGGATAAAGGAAAAGGGAAAAACATTGTTGCAAGAAAGAAAGAGAAAAGGATAAAGGAAAAAGGAAAACATTGTTGCAGTAAGAAAGAGAACAAGGGATAAAGGAAAAAGGAAAACATTGTTGGCAGTAAGAAAGAGAAACAAGGGAAAAAGGAAAAAACATTGTAAGAAAAGAGAATAAGGGATAAAGGAAAAAGAAAACATTGTTGCAGAAAGAGAATAAGGATAAAGGAAAAGGGAAAACATTGTTGCAGTAAGAAAGAGAACAAGGATAAAGGAAAAGGGAAAACATTGTTGCAGTAAGAAAGAGAATAAGGGATAAAGGAAAAAGGGAAAACATTGTTGCAGTAAGAAAGAGAAATAAGGGATAAAGGAAAAGGGAAAACATTGTTGCAGTAAGAAAGAAACAAGGGATAAAGGAAAAGGGAAAACATTGTTGATGTAAGAAAGAGAACAAGGGATAAAGGAAAAGGGAAAACATTGTTGCAGTAAGAAAGAGAGAAAAGGGATAAAGAAAAGGGAAAACATTGTTGCAAGGACAAAGGAAAAGGGAAAACATTGGGGAGAAAGAGAACAAGGATAAAGGAAAAAGGAAAACATTAACGTAAGAAAGAGAACAAGGATAAAGGAAAAAGGAAACATTGTTGCAGTAAGAAAGAGAAAAAGGACAAAGGAAAAAGGAAAACATTGTTGCAGTAAGAAAGAGAAACAAGGATAAAGGAAAAAGGGAAAACATTGTTGCAAGAAAGAGAAATAAGGAAAAGGAAAAGGGAAACATTGGTTGTAAAGAAAGAGAAAAGGATAAAGGAAAAGGGGAAAAACATTGGGTAGTAAGAAAGAGAACAAGGATAAAGGAAAGAAAAAACATTGGCAGTAAGAAAGAAAGGAAAAGGAAAAGGAAAACATTGTTGCAGTAAGAAAGAGAAATAAGGGATAAAGGAAAAAGGAAAAACATTGTTGCAGTAAGAAAGAGAACAAGGATAAAGGGAAAAGGGAAAACATTGTTGCAGTAAGAAAGAGAAATAAGGGATAAAGGAAAAAGGAAAACATTGGGCAGTAAGAAAGAGAAATATGGATAAAGGAAAAGGAAAACATTGTTGCAGTAAGAAAGAGAAATAAGGGATAAAGGAAAAGGAAAACATTGTTGCAAAGAAAGAGAACAAGGATAAAGGAAAAGGGGAAAAATGATGTTGCAGTAAGAAAGAGAACAAGGGATAAAGGAAAAGGAAAACATTGTTGCAGTAAGAAAGAGAACAAGGAAGGAAAAAGGAAAAATTGGTAAGAAAGAGAACAAGGGATAAAGGAAAAAGGGAAAACATTGTTGCAGTAAGAAAGAGAACAAGGGATAAAGGAAAAAGGGAAAACATTGTTGCAAGAGAATAAGAAAGAGAAAACAAGGGATAAAGGAAAAAGGAAAACATTGTTGCAGTAAGAAAGAGAAACAAGGATAAAGGAAAAGGAAAACATTGTTGTAAAGAAAGAGAACAAGGGATAAAAAAGGGGAAAACATTGTTGCAGTAAGAGAGAAACAAGGGATAAAGGAAAAAGGGAAAACATTGTTGCAGTAAGAAAGAGAACAAGGGATAAAGGAAAAAGGGAAAACATTGTTGCAGTAAGAAAGAGAACAAGGGATAAAGGAAAAGGAAAATTGTTTTGTAAGAAAGAGAAATAAGGGATAAAGGAAAAAGGGAAAACATTGTTGCAGTAAGAAAGAGAAACAAGGGATAAAGGAAAAGGGGGAAAACATTGTTGCAGTAAGAAAGAGAAAAAGGATAAAGGAAAAAGGGGAAAACATTGTTGCAGTAAGAAAGAGAACAATAAAGGAAAAAGGGGAAACATTAAGGCAGGAAGAAAGAGAAACAAGGATAAAGGAAAAAGGAAAACATTAGGGTAAGAAATGAAAAGGACTGTAAGAAAGAGAACAAGGATAAAGGAAAAAGGGAAAACATTTGTTGCAGTAAGAAAGAGAACAAGGGATAAAGGAAAAAGGGAAAAACATTGTTGCAGTAAGAAAGAGAACAAGGGATAAAGGAAAAAGGGAAAACATTGCAGTAAGAAAGAGAAAAAGGATAAAGGAAAAAGGGAAAACATTGTTGCAGTAAGAAAGAGAACAAGGATAAAGGAAAAGGAAAACATTGTTGCAGTAAGAAAGAGAACAAGGGATAAAGGAAAAAAATTGTTGCAGTAAGAAAGAGAAAAAGGATAAAGGAAAAAGGAAAACATTGTTGCAGTAAGAAAGAGAGAATAAGGATAAAGGGAAAAAAAAACATTGTTGCAGTAAGAAAGAGAAATAAGGGATAAAGGAAAAAGGAAAACATTGTTGCAGTAAGAAAGAGAACAAGGGATAAAGGAAAAGGAAAACATTGAGGTCAAAAGAAAAGAGAACAAGGGACAAAGGAAAAAAGGGAAAACATTGTTGCAGTAAGAAAGAGAATCAAGGGATAAAGGAAAAGGAAAACATTGTTGCAGTAAGAAAGAGAAAAGGGATAAAGGAAAAGGGAAAACATTGTTGCAGTAAGAAAAGAGAAAAGGATAAAGGAAAAGGGGAAAATTGTTGCAGTAAGAAAGAGAACAAGGGATAAAGAAAAAGGAAAACATTGTAAGAAGTAAGAAAGAAAAAGAAAAACATGTAAGGAACAAGGATAAAGGAAAAGGGAAAACATTGTTGCAGTAAGAAAGAGAACAAGGGATAAAGGAAAAGGAAAACATTAGACGTAAGAAAGAGAAATAAGGGATAAAGGAAAAGGGGAAAACATTGTTGAGTAAGAAAGAGAAATAAGGACAAAGGAAAAGGGAAAACATTAAGGACGTAAGAAAGAGAAACAAGGGATAAAGGAAAAGGGAAAACATTGTTGCAGTAAGAAAGAGAAATAAGGGATAAAGGAAAAGGGAAAACATTAAGAAAGAGAATAAGAAAGAGGAAAAACAAGGGATAAAGGAAAAAGAGAAAAGGAAACATTGACGTAAGAAAGAGAATAAGGGATAAAGGAAAAGGGAAAAAATTGTTGCAGTAAGAAAGAGAACAAGGGATAAAGGAAAAAGGAAAACATTGTTGCAAGAAAGAGAACAATAAAGGAAAAGGGAAAACATTGTTGCAAAGAAAGAGAACAAGGAAAAGGAAAAGGGAAACATTGTTGCAGTAAGAAAGAGAAATGGAAAAGGAAAAGGGAAAAGGAAAGAGAACAAGGGATAAAGGAAAAGGAAAACATTGTAAGAAAGAGAATAAGGGAAAGGAAAAGGAAAACATTGTTAAAGGAAAAAGGAAAACATTGTTGCAGTAAGAAAAGAGAAATAAGGATAAAGGAAAAAAGGAAAATATTGTTGCAGTAAGAAAGAGAAAAACATTAGGACGTAAGGGATAAAGGAAAAGGGAAAACATTGTTGCAGTAAGAAAGAGAATAAGGGATAAAGGAAAAGGGAAAAACATTGTTGCAGTAAGAAAGAGAACAAGGATAAAGAAAAAGAAAAATATTGTTGCAGTAAGAAAGAGAACAAGGGATAAAGGAAAAAGGAAAACATTGTTGCAGTAAGAAAGAGAACAAGGGATAAAGGAAAAAGGAAAACATTGTTGCAGTAAGAAAGAGAACAAGGGATAAAGGAAAGGGAAAACATTGTTGCAGTAAGAAAGAGAAAAAGGATAAAGGAAAAGGGGAAAACATTGTTGCAAGAAAGAGAACAAGGGATAAAGGAAAAGAGAACATTGTTGCAAAGAAAGAGAATAATAAAAAAAGGAAAGACATTGTTGCAGTAAGAAAGAGAACAAGGGATAAAGGAAAAGGAAAACATTGTTGCAGTAAGGGAAAGAGAAACATTGTTGCAGGAAAGAGAAAGGAAAAGGGAAAACATTGTTGCAGTAAGAAAGAGAATAAGGGATAAAGGAAAAAGGGAAACATTGTTGAAAGAGAATAAGGAAAAAAGAAAGAGAAAAAGAGAACAAGGGATAAAGGAAAAAGGAAAACATTGTTGCAGTAAGAAAGAGAACAAGGGATAAAGGAAAAGGGAAAACATTGTTGACGTAAGAAAGAGAAATAAGGGATAAAGGAAAAAGGGAAAACATTGCTGCAGTAAGAAAGAGAATAAGGGATAAAGGAAAAGGAAACATTGTTGCAGTAAGAAAGAGAACAAGGGATAAAGGAAAAAAGAAAAATATTGTTGGAAAACAGTAAGAAAGAGAACAAGGATAAAGGGAAAAGGAAAACATTGTTGCAAAGAAGAAAGAGAATAAGGATAAAGGGGAAAAGGAAAACATTGTTGCAGTAAGAAAGAAATGGGATAAAGGAAAAGGGAAAACATTGTTGCAGTAAGAAAGAGAACAAGGATAAAGGAAAAAAGAAACATTGTTGCAGTAAGAAAGAGAACATGGATAAAGGAAAAGGAAAACATTGTTGCAGTAAGAAAGAGAACAAGGGATAAAGGAAAAGGAAAACATTAACGTAAGAAAGAGAAACAAGGGATAAAGGAAAAAGGGAAAACATTGTTGCAGTAAGAAAGAGAATAAGGATAAAGGAAAAGGGAAAAGATTGTTGTAAGAAAGAGAAAAGGATAAAGGAAAAGGAAAACATTGTTGCAGTAAGAAAGAGAAATAAGGGATAAAGGAAAAGGGAAAACATTTGTTGCAGTAAGAAAGAGAAACAAGGGATAAAGAAAAAGGGGAAACATTAAAGAAAGAGAATAAGAAAAGAGAATAAAGGATAAAGGGAAAAAAAAGGGAAAACATTGTTGGAGTAAGAAAGAGAAATAAGGGATAAAGGGAAAAAGGAAACATTGTTGCAGTAAGAAAGAGAATAAGGATAAAGGAAAAGGGAAAAACATTGTTAAGAAATAAGAAAGAGGGATAAAGGAAAAGGGAAAAAACATTGTTGCAGTAAGAAAGAGGAACAAAGGAAAAGGGAAACATTGTGGCAGTAAGAAAAGAGAAATAAAAAAAGGAAAAGTTGAAAGAAAGAATAAGGATAAAGGAAAAGGAAAAACATTGTGGACATAAGAAAGAGAACAAGGGATAAAGGAAAAGGGAAAACATTGTTGCAGTAAGAAAGAGAACAAGGGATAAAGGAAAAAGGGAAACATTGTTGCAGTAAGAAAAGAGAACAAGGGATAAAGGAAAAAGGAAAACATTGTGGAGTAAGAAAGAGAACAAGGGATAAAGGAAAAAAGGAAAAACATTGTTGCAGTAAGAAAAGAACAGGGATAAAGGAAAAAGGGAAAACATTGTTGCAGTAAGAGAGAACAAGGGATAAAGGAAAAAGGGGAAAACATTGTTGAAAGAGAACAAAATGGATAAAGAAAGGAAAACATTGTTGCAAGGATAAAAGGAAAAAAAGGAAAAACATGGAAAAAAGAGAAATTGGAAAAGGGAAAACACAGATGTAAGAAAGAGAACAAGGATAAAGGAAAAAGGGAAAACATTGTTGCAATGAAAGAGAAAAAGGGATAAAGGAAAAGGGAAAACATTGTTGCAGTAAGAAAGAACAAGGATAAAGGAAAAGGAAAACATTGTTGCAGAAGAAAAGAGAACAAGGGAGGGGGAAAAACATTGTAAAGGAAAAAGATAAAGGAAAAAGGAACATTAAGGTAGTAAGAAAGAGAACAAGGGATAAAGGAAAAAGGAAAATATTAAGTTGCAGTAAGAAAAGAGAATAAGGGATAAAGGAAAAGGGAAAATATTGTTGCAGTAAGAAAGAGGAATAAGGGATAAAGGAAAAGGGAAAACATTGTTGCAGTAAGAAGAGAACAAGGATAAAGGAAAGGAAAACATTGGAAGAAAGAGAGAACAAGGATAAAGGAAAAGGAAAACATTGGGAGTAAGAAAGAGAATAAGGGATAAAGGGGAAAATAAGTTGCAAGAAAGAGAACAAGGATAAAGGAAAAGGGAAAACATTGTTGCAGTAAGAAAGAGAATGATGGATAAAGGAAAAGGGAAAAAGAGAACATTGGAGTGAAAACATTGTTGCAGAAAGAGAAACAAACAAGGATAAAGGAAAAAAAAAAATTGTGACGTAAGAAAGAGAACAAGGGACAAAGGAAAAAGGAAAACATTGTTGAAGAAAGAGAACAAGGGATAAAGGAAAAAGGAAAACATTGTTGCAGTAAGAAAAGAGAACAAGGGATAAAGGAAAAGGGAAAACATTGTTGCAGTAAGAAAGAGAACAAGGGATAAAGGAAAAAGGGAAAACATTGTGGACGTAAGAAAGAGAACAAGGGATAAAGGAAAAAGGGAAAACATTGTTGCAGTAAGAAAGAGAACAAGGGATAAAGGAAAAAGGGAAAACATTGTTGCAGTAAGAAAGAGAACAAGGGATAAAGGAAAAAGGAAAACATTGTTGAGTAAAGAAAGAGAACAAGGGATAAAGGAAAAAGGAAAACATTGTGGACGTAAGAAAAGAGAACAAGGATAAGGAAAAGGAAAACATTGTTGCAGTAAGAAAGAGAACAAGGGATAAAGGAAAAAGAAAACATTGTTGTAAGAAAGAGAACAAGGGATAAAGGAAAAGGAAAACATTGTTGCAGTAAGAAAAGAGAACAAGGGATAAAGAAAAAGGAAAACATTGTTGCCAAGAAAAAGAACAAGGGATAAAGGAAAAAGGGGAAAACATTGTTGCCGTAAGAAAGAGAACAAGGGATAAAGGAAAAGGAAAACATTGTTGCAGTAAGAAGGAAACAAGGGATAAAGGAAAAAGGAAAACATTGTTGCAGTAGAAGAGAACAAGGGATAAAGGAAAAAGGAAACATTGTGGACGTAAGAAAGAACAAGGGATAAAAGAAAAGAGAAAACATTGTTGACAGTAAGAAAGAGAACAAAGGATAAAGGAAAAAGAGAAAAAACATTGGACGTAAGAAAAGAACAAGGATAAGGAAAAAGAAAACATTGTTGCAGTAAGAAAGAAAGGGATAAAGGAAAAAGGAAAACATTGTTGCAGTAAGAAAGAGAACAAGGGATAAAGGAAAAAGGAAAACATTGTGGACGTAGCAAGTAAGAAAAGAAAACAAGGGATAAAGGGAAAAAGGAAAAAGGGGAAAACATTGTGGCCGTAAGAAAGAGAACAAGGATAAAGAAAAAACATTTCTGGAAACATTGTTGCAGTAAGAAATAGAACAAAAAGGGATAAAAAAGGAAAAAGGGAAAAACATTGTTGCAGTAAGAAAGAGAAATAAGGGATAAAGGAAAAGGAAAACATTGGACGTAAAGGAAAAGGGAAAACATTAGAAAGAGAAAAAGGGATAAAGGAAAAAGGAAAACAAGGCAGTAAGAAAAGAAAGAACAAGGGATAAAGGAAAAAGGGAAAACATTGTTGCAGTAAGAAAGAAAGGGATAAAGGAAAAGGAAAAACATTGTTGGAAAAAGAGAACAAGGGATAAAAGAAAGAGAAAACATTGTTGCAGGATAAAAGGAAAAAGGGAAAACATTAGACGTAGAGAGAATAGGGATAAAGGAAAAGGAAAACAAGGGATAAAGGAAAAAGGAAAAAGGAAAAAGGAAACATTAAGAAAGAGAACAAGGGATAAAGGAAAAGGAAAACATTGTTGCAGTAAGAAAGAGAACATGGATAAAGGAAAAAGGGGAAAGACACAGTAAGAAAGAAGAAAGGGATAAAGGAAAAGGAAAACATTGCCTGCAGTATTAAAAAGAAAAGGAAAAAATATATTCCGAAAACATTGAACGTAATTGAAACAGGAACAAAAGGATAAAATCAGGAAAACTGGAAAAAATTAAACAGTAAGAAAAATGTCTGGGATAAAAAAGAAAAGGAAAAATATATTTGATGCAGAACTAATTGAAAAGGAGAAAAGGGATAAAATCAAAAAGGAAAAAATTGTTTGCAGTGAAGCAAAAATGTCTGGGATAAAAAGAAAAGGCAAATATATTCCTTGCAACTAAAAACCGAACAAACAGGATAAAGGAAAAAACTTATTATTTGCAAAAAAGAAAGAAAAGGGATAAAGAAAAGAAAAAATGTCTGCCTTCTGGTTGCAGTAAAAAAGAGAACAAGGGATAAAAAGGAGAAAAGGGAAAACTGTATTGTTTTCACGTAGAAAATGAACAAGGGATAAAGAAAAATGTTCGCCTTGAAAGGAACAAGTAAGAAAAGGAAAAATAAAGGAAACCAAAACATTGTTGCAGTAAACAGGAGAACAAGGGATAAAACTGAAAAAGGAAAACGACTGGAGAAAATAAACTGGAAAGCAAGAACAAGGGATAAAGGAAAAAAATATTGATGCAACCAAGAACTGAATTGTAAACAGAGAAAGGATAAAACTGAAAAAGGAAAAACGACTGTTTCAAATGTAAAACTGAAAAGAAAATGTCAAGGATAAAAGAAAAGAAAACATTGTTGCAAATCAAGAACAAGGGATAAAGAAAAGGATAAAACATTGTTGCAGTAAACTGGAAAAGCAAAATGTCTGGATAAAAAAGAAAAGGAAAAAACATTGATGCAAATGAAAGAGAACAAGGGATAAACAGAGAAAAGGATAAAACATTATTTTCTGGTAAGACTGAGAACAAGGATAAAGGAAAAGGAAAATATTCATTGTTGCAGTATTAAAAGAACAAGGGATAAAGGAAAAAGGATGCAAACAACCGAATTAAAACAGGAACAAGGGATAAACTGGAAAACATTTTTAAACGACTGGAGAAAAATGATAAAGGAAAAAGCAAAAAGTTGTCGCCTTCAAGGATAAAGGAAAAAAGGAAAAAAATGTTCCGACGTAACCAAGAACCGAATTGAAACAGGAGAAAGGGGATAAACTGTGTTCCTTTCCAAACGACTGGAGAAAATGGAAACTGAAAACAAATGTCTGCAGTAAAGTATTAAAAGAAAAGGAAAAATATATTTGATGCAACCAAGAACAAGGGATAAACAGGAGAAAAGGATAAAATTGTAAGAAAGAGAACAACTGGAGAAAATGAAAACTGAAAACAAATGTGGACCTGAAAGTAACAGGGATAAAGGAAAAAAGGAAAATATTCCGATGCAACCAAGAACCAATTGATAAAGAGAAAAAGGGAAAACATTGTTTTCCGACTGGAGAAAATGAGAAAAGGGATAAAAAATGTCTTCTCTTTTCAAAAAACAGATAAAGAAAAAACCAAAACCGAATTGTAAACAGTAAAAGCAAATGTCTAAGCCGACTGGAGAAAAAAGGAAAAGGAAAAAGCTTATTGTTGCATAGCAAATTAAAAGAAAAGGAAAAAAAATATTCCGATGCTAGAAAGAACAGGATAAAAACTGTAAAACCTTTTCAAACGAAATGAAACTGAAAAAGCAAAATGTCTGGAAAAAAGAAAACAAAAAATATTCGATGAAAGAGAACAAATAAAGAAAAAGGAAAACATTGTAAAAGAAAGAGAAAAGGGATAAAAAAAAGGGTAAACAGGAGGACGTAACGAACAAGGGATAAACGAAAATGAAAAATTGAAAAGTAAAAAAGAGAACAAGGATAAAAGAAAAGGAAAAATATTCCGGATGCAACCAAAAACAAACTGTAAAAGGAAAAAGGAAAAAATATCTCTTTTTCAAACGACTGGAGAAAATGTAAACTGAAAGCAAAATGTCTGCTTCCTTTCTGGTATTAAAAAGAAAAGGAAAATATATTCCGATGCAAAATCAAAACCGAACTGTAAAACAGGAGAAAAGGATAAAACTGTATTCCTTCAAAACGACTGGAGAAATGTAAAACTGGCAGTGCCAAATGTCTGTCATATTAAAAAGAAAAGAAAATATATCTGATGCAACCAAAAACCGAACTGTAAAGCAGAAAGGATAATATCAGCCTTTTTCAAACGACTAAGAAAATGTAAATTGAAAAGCAAATGTCTTCTGTATTAAAAAGAAAAGGAAAAATATATTCCGATGCAAATCAAGAACTGAATTAAACAGAGAAAAGGGATAAACTGTATTCTTTTCAAACGATCATTGAGAAATAAAACTGGAAAAGCAAAAATGTCTGCCTTCTAGTATTAAAAAGAAAAGGAAAGTAGGCCCTGATGCAACTAAGAACTGAATTGTAAACAGGAGAAAAGGGATAAAACTGTATTCCTTTCAAACGACTAGAGAAAATGTAAACTGAAAAGCAAAAATGTCTGCCTTCTGGCATTAAAAGAAAAAGGAAAATATATTCCGATGCAACCAAGAACTGAATTGTAAACAGGAGAAAGGATAAAACTGTATTCTTTTCAAACGACTGGAGAAAATAAACTGGAAAAGCAAAATGTCTGCCTTCTGGTATTAAAAGAAAAGGAAAAATATATTCCGATGCAAACAAAAACCGAATTGAAACAGGAGAAAAGGGGATAAAAACTGTATTTCCTTTTCAAACGACTGGAGAAAATGTAAAACTGAAAAAGCAAAATGTCTGCTGCATTCTGTGGTATTAAAAGAAAAAGGGAACAATCTACGCAACCAAAAACCGAACTGTAAACAGAAGAAAAGGATAAAACTGTATTCTCAAACAACTGGAGAAAATGTAAAACTGAAAAGCAAAATGTCTGCCTTCTGGTATTAAAAGAAAAGGAAAAATATTCCGATGCAACAAAACCGAACTGCAACAGAGGCGGATAAAACTGTATTCCATTTCAAATGACTGGAGAAATGTAAACGAAAAGCAAATGTCTGCCTTTCTGGTATTAAAAGAAAAGGAAAAATATTCCGATGCAAACTAAGAACCGAATTGTAAACAGGAGAAAAGGGATAAAAATCATTCCTTTCAAACGACTGAAATGAAACTGAAAAGCAAAATGTCTGCTCTCTGGTATTAAAAGACAAGGAAAATATCTGATGCAAATTCAAGAACCGAATTGTAAACAGGAAAAGGGATAAAACTGTATTCCTTTTTCAAACGACAGAGAAAACAAACTGGAAAAGCAAAATGTCTGCCTTTCTGGTATTAAAAGAAAAGGAAAAATATAATCTGATGCAACCAGAAACTGAATTGTAAACAGAGAAAAGGATAAAACTGTATTCCTTTTTCAAAAACGACTGAGAAAATGTAAACTGGAAAAGCAAAATGTTCGCCTTCTGGTATTAAAAGAAAAGGAAAATATATTCCGATGCAACCAAAAACCGAACTGTAAACAGAGAAAAGGATAAAACTGTATTCCTTTTCAAACGACTGGAGAAAAATGTAAACTGGAATAGCAAACGTCTGCCTTCTGGTATTAAAAAGAAAAGGAAAATATATTCCGATGCAACCAAAAACCGAATCCGTAAACAGAGAAAAGGGATAAAACGTATTCCTTTTCAAACGACTGGAGAAAATGTAAACTGAAAAGCAAAAATGTCACCTTTCTGGTATTAAAAAAAGGAAAAAAATATCCGATGCAACAAAAAACCGAATCAGAATTAAAATCAGCCCTTTTTCAAAACGACTGGAGAGAAAACTGGAAAAAAATGTCTGCCTTCTGGTATTAAAAGAAGCTATTTCAAAAAACCGAACTGTAAACAGGGTAAGAAATTTCAAACGACTGAGAAATGTAAAACAAAAATGTTCGGCCTTCTGGTATTAAAAAGAAAAGAAAAATATATTCCGATGCAACCAAAAACTGAACTCGTAAACAGGAGAAAGGGATAAAACTGTATTACTTTTCAAAACGACGGAGAAAATGTAAAACTGAAAAGCAAAATGTCTGCCTTCTGGTATTAAAGAAAAGGAAAAATATTCCGATGCAAACCAAGAACCGAATTAAACAGGAGAAAAGGATATAAACTGTATTCCTTTTCAAACGACTGGAGAAAATGTAAAAACTGAAAAGCAAAATGTCTGCCTTCTGGTATTAAAAGAAAAGGAAAAATATCTGATAACCAAGAACCGAATTGTAAACAGGAGAAAAGGATAAAATCAGCCCCTTTTCAAACGACTGAGAAAAATGTAAAATTGAAAAAGCAAAAATGTCTGCCTTCTGGTATTAAAAGAAAGGAAAAATATTCCGATGCAAAAAAGACGAATTGTAAACAGGAGAAAAGGGATAAAACTGTATTCCTTTTCAAAACGACTGGAGAAAAATGTAAAACTGAAAAAGCAAAATGTCTGTCTCTGGTATTAAAAGAAAAAGGAAAAAAATATTCCGATGCAACCAAGAACCGAATTGTAAACAAAAGAAAAGGGATAAAAATTGTATTCCTTTTCAAACGACTGGAGAAATGTAAAACTGAAAAGCAAATGTCTGCCTTCTGGTATTAAAAAGAAAAGGAAAAAATATTCCGATGCAACCAAAAACAGAATTGTAAACAGGAGAAAAGGATAAAATCTGTATTCTTTTCAAACGACAGGAGAAAATGTAAACTGAAAAGCAAAATGTCTGCCTTCTGGTATTAAAAAAGAAAAAGGAAAAATATATTCCGATGCAACCAAAAACCGGAATTGTAAACAGGAGAAAAGGGATAAAACTGTATTCCTTTTCAAACGACTGAAAAAAAAACGTGTAAAACTGAAAAAGCAAAAATGTCTGCCTTTCTGTATTGTCTGCCTTTCTGGAGAAAAGGAAAAATATATTCCGATGCAACCAAAAACCGAACTGTAAACAGGAGAAAAGGATAAAACTGTATTTTTTTCAAACGACAGGAGAAAATGTAAAACTGAAAAGCAAAAATGTCTGCCTTCTGGTATTAAAAAGAAAAGGAAAATATATTCTGATGCAACCAAAAACCGAATTGTAAACAGGAGAAAAGGATAAAACTGTATTCCTTTTCAAACGACTGAGAGAAAATGTAAACTGAAAAGCAAAAAAAATGTTCCGATGCCTTCTGGAGAAAGGGATATGTAAAAAACGAAAAAGGAAAAAATATTCTGATGCAACCAAAAACCGAACTGTAAACAGGAGAAAAGGGATAAAACTGTATTCTTTTCAAACGACTGAGAAATGTAAAACTGAAAAAAGCAAAATGTCTGCCTTCTGGTATTAAAAGAAAAGGAAAATATATTCCGATGCAACCAAAAACCGAACTGTAAACAGGAGAAAAGGGATAAAACTGTATTCTTTTCAAACGACTGGAGAAAATGTAAAACTGAAAAGCAAAATGTCTGCCTTCTGGTATTAAAAGAAAAGGAAAATATATTCTGATGCAAACTAAAAACCGAACTGTAAACAGGAGAAAAGGGATAAAACTGTATTCCTTTTCAAACGACTGGAGAAAATGTAAAACTGAAAAGCAAAATGTCTGCCTTTCTGGTATTAAAAAGAAAGGAAAAAATATATTCCGATGCAACCAAAAACCGAACTGTAAACAGGAGAAAAAATAAAACTGTATTCTTTTCAAACGACTGAGAAAATGTAAAACTGAAAAGCAAAATGTCTGAAAAAGGAAAAATATATTCCGATGCAAAACTTCCGAATGGGAGAAAATTAAAAGAAAAGGAAAAAATAAACTGAAAAAGGCAAATGGGCCTTTCTGGTATTAAAAAGCAACCGATGCAAGAAAAACCGAATTGTAAACAGGAGAAAAGGGATAAAACTGTATTCCTTTTCAAACGACTGGAGAAATGTAAAACTGGAAAAGCAAAATGTCTGCCTTCTGGTATTAAAAGAAAAGGAAAATATATTCTGATGCAACCAAGAACCGAATTGTAAACAGGAGAAAGGGATAAAACTGTATTCCTTTTCAAACGACTGAGAAAAATGTAAACTGGAAAAGCAAATGTCTGCCTTCTGGTATTAAAAGAAAAGGAAAAATATATTCCGATGCAACCAAAAACCGAATTGTAAACAGGAGAAAAGGGATAAAACTGTATTCCTTTTCAAACGACTGGAGAAAATGTAAAACTGAAAAGCAAAATGTCTGCCTTCTGGTATTAAAAAGAAAAGAAAATATATTCCGATGCAAACAAAAACCGAATTGTAAACAGGAGAAAAGGGATAAACAGTATTCTTTTTCAAACGACTGAGAAAATGTAAAACTGAAAAGCAAAATCTGCCTTTCTGGTATTAAAAGAAAAGGAAAAATATATTCCGATGCAACCAAAACCGAACTGTAAACAGGAGAAAAGGGATAAAACTGTATTCCTTTTTTCAAACGACTGAGAAAATGTAAAACTGGAAAAGCAAAATGTCTGCCTTCTGGTATTAAAAGAAAAGGAAAATATATTCCGATGCAACCAAGAACCGAATTGTAAACAGGAGAAAAGGATAAAACTGTATTCCTTTTCAAACGACTGGAGAAAAATGTAAACTGAAAAAGCAAAATGTCTGCCTTCTGGTATTAAAAGAAAAGGAAAATATATTCCGATGCAACCAAAAACCGAATTGTAAACAGGAGAAAAGGGATAAAACTGTATTCCTTTTCAAACGACTGGAGAAAATGTAAAACTGGAAAAGCAAAATGTCTGCCTTTTGGTATTAAAAGAAAAGGAAAAATATATTCCGATGCAACCAAAAACCGAACTGTAAACAGGAGAAAAACGATAAAACTGTATTCCTTTTCAAACGACTGGAGAAAATGTAAAACTGGAAAAGCAAAATGTCTGCCTTCTGGTATTAAAAGAAAAGGAAAATATATTCCGATGCAACCAAAAACGGAACTGTAAACAGGAGAAAAGGGATAAAACTGTATTCCTTTTCAAACGACTGGAGAAAATGTAAAACTGGAAAAGCAAAATGTCTGCCTTCTGGTATTAAAAGAAAAGGAAAAATATATTCCGATGCAACCAAAAACCGAACTGTAAACAGGAGAAAAGGGATAAAACTGTATTCCTTTTCAAACGACTGGAGAAAATGTAAAACTGAAAAGCAAAATGTCTGCCTTTCTGGTATTAAAAAGAAAAGGAAAAAATATTCCGATGCAACCAAAAACCGAATTGTAAACAGGAGAAAAGGGATAAAACTGTAAAAAGAAAAATTCTGCCTTCTGGTATTAAAAGAAAAGGAAAAATATTTTCAAACGACTGGAGAAAATGTAAAACTGAAAAGCAAAAAATGTCTGCCTTCTGGTATTAAAAGAAAAGGAAAATATATATTCCGATGCAACCAAAAACCGAACTGTAAACAGAGAAAAGGATAAAACTGTATTCCTTTTCAAACGACTGGAGAAAATGTAAAACTGAAAAAAATGTCTGCCTTCTGGTATTAAAAAGAAAAATGTATTCCGATGCAACTGTAAACAGGAGAAAAGGGATAAAACTGTAAAAGAAAAAATGTAAAACTAAAAAGCAAATGTCTGATTCAAAAAAAAAGGAAAATATATTCCGATGCAACAAAAACTGAACTGTAAACAGGAGAAAAGGGATAAAACTGTATTCCTTTTTCAAACGACTGGAGAAAATGTAAAACTGAAAAGCAAAATGTCTGCCTTCTGGTATTAAAAAGAAAAGGAAAAATATATTCCGATGCAACCAAAAACCGAATTGTAAACAGGAGAAAAGGATAAAACTGTATTCCTTTTCAAACGACTGGAGAAAATGTAAAACTGAAAAGCAAAATGTCTGCCTTCTGGTATTAAAAGAAAAGGAAAAATATATTCCGATGCAACCTAAAACCGAACTGTAAACAGGAGAAAAGGGATAAAACTGTATTCCTTTTCAAACGACTGGAGAAAATGTAAAACTGAAAAAGCAAAATGTCTGCCTTCTGGTATTAAAAGAAA